ACTAAATATTATATATTGTAGCTAAAAATGAAAACTTTACTCTTATTACAGTGTAAGGTTTATAAATTCAAAAATTGTATACCTTTTCCGGTGCAACGAATACAAAGTCTTTATTTTACAGTCTAAAATTATTATTAATCTGTTGCACTAGTCCAACTATCCTCACATTGGAAGGGACTAACTCGTACACCCTACATGCAGACATCTTTTACACAATACACATTGAAGCCAGTCCTCTTTCCTCTTTGTCTTCGGTAGTCCTCACCACATCCAACACACTTATGTAGATTAATTGTTTTTCGTCCTCTTTAGAATTATTCAGAATCCCTTTTTCAGATTTTTGCATTTGCTTTGCTAATATAATTTCGGCATTTTCTACGATGTAAATACTTATCACTGGTTCAACTACCTTTATAAGGGAGGATAGATGGAACACGCGTTTGCGCCGAAACGATGCATTCTAATGACGTTGATTAATGTTAGGGCCTAATAAACTAGATTACATACAAATATCACGGTTTAAGCAAACTTTATCACAATTCACCTCGCACAAATTTGCACACTACACTGTTAAAAATATCTGTGGTGTAAAAAGTAATCTTAACATGGTTTCAAAATCCAACGCCAAGTGGTGTTAATATAAACACAATGAATTATGGTTGAAAATCTTATATACATCAAACACCAAAACGGTGTTTATCTAAAAATATTTGAGAAGTGCACCTACACAGAAAAAAAGGAATAGTTCATTTAACTATATTAATTTAGTTGACCCATAAGTATTTATTTAAATCAACTGTGGGAAGGTTAATATAAACAAAGATTAGTTTGACGGTACTAAACCAGATAATTATTTTTTTTTAAATTGGTTAAATTAACCCAGAAAACTTTAGTGAAACCAACCCGCTGTATGATTCAGTTTACTAAATATGATGTTTGAAAAATAAGAGTTACTTCAACCTAAAGCACTCTGTTAAAACGATTAAAACAATTTACCGTGCATTCCTGGTTGCATAGTGTGTACCGATCGCAGCAAAGGCGGTGTGGATCACGTGATGTTCTTAAATCTCGCCTCTGTTGACTTACATGAAGAGTATATAAGCTCAGGTAGTCCTTTGCTTTGGTGTGACACTACAAGTTGTTCGATACTAAGAGACCTTAAATTGGTGAGAACAACTGTCAATACTTGAAGTATTTTAAGTTAGTGGAACGCACTAAAAACATTATCTCTAGCGAGTTGAAGGTTCAATTTTCTGGAATAATACCACTGCATCAAGGAACTTCCTGTTTCCTTTTTTTCCTTTTTTTTCTGTAGCATGATTTAATTTGACCAAAAACACATAATATTTAACACTGAAAAGGAGTTCAATTTACACCAGGTAAAATTTATTTTAATACTGTGTGAAAGTTAAATTTACACTATTTTAGTATTTAAATTTACACCGGACCACCGAACCATATTTAACACCATTTTGGTTTGTATCGATATAGACCATGTATGGTGTTAATTTGGTGTTAAAATGGTCATGAAATTTTGAACAGTGTATACTAGCTATAGCTAAAACAATAATCTCAATAACTTATTAAAATGATAAAATTAAGTGATCTGTTGTTTATCCCTACACAAACACGCTCGAAAACAGGTACTCTCCACCGCGCGACTTCATTATTGCAATATCTTGGGTTTTAATTTAAACTAATGGTCCGTCTCTCCTTCTTCCCCAACTCTCCTTCCTTTACCCTTATGCCTAAATTAACTTGTGCAACCTGCGGCACGTTACCAACCTTATAAAGCCGACACACAAGGTCTATTAAATATGTTATGCACTCATACACTTCTAATAGGTCTTGTGTGTCGGCTTTATGAGGTCGGTAAGTTACCACACACAAATGATGATGCTAATCGCATATCGACATGACGCACACTGGAATGAATTCAGTCCAGCTTTTAAAAGCTCGATTCCGATCAAAATGAATTTAAAAACAAACTACAAGAGATATTGACTACATATTAATGCATATAAAAGCTTTATCATATATGCTTATAAGCAAAATTCACAATAATACCTTCAGTGGCGCAATGTGAAATGGAAAAAATATTTTTTCTACTCCCACCCTTAAAACGCCCTTTATCGGACATGTTTCCATGACACTAAGTGATCTTTTAAATACACATTGACAAGTTGTGGCTTTACGGCGCTTTAGTCACGGTCTGAAGTTAGCAACAGGTTTTTAGTCACGGGCTGAAGTTAGTTTTAAGTTAGTTGACAGTTGTCAAATGTCATACAATCGTTAAAATAAAGTGCCTTTCTTGTAAAATAATACTAAATGTAAAAAATATTTTATTATCTCAATAAAAAAATACAAAAATATTAAATAGTTTCTCAACGCCAATATTTGAAAAGTTTATATGAACATTGTACTGACCTTTTAATTTCGTCGGCAGTTAACTATAACTTAAATTCGGGCACGGACTCTACTGTAAAGTCCTCATAAAACATTTCCTTACTTTCAGTGTAAAAAACTGTCAATTTTCAAGATACATTTCGATTTATAACCTTTATAATTGTGTTTATATAATGTAAAAATGTGACATTTGACAGTTTCCCCTGTTGGTTCATAGATGGCGCTCTACACAAATTTTTTATTTAAATCATTTTAAGATAATAATAAGTTTTTGTCGTAGAAAAAGTATAGTATGCACCTCGTTTATAAACTTTTCTATACACTCATTAACTTAAGCACCCGCTCGCAAGCTCGCTCGTGCCTAAATTAAATTCGTGTATAAAATGGCGTTTATCAAACTTGATACATAATATACTATTTTATACCGTAAATGACTGTTTTTTAATTTTACGAATTTAAATTATTGGCGACGTGTTATACAAAGTTTATTTTTAAAACCTTATTCAGTCAGTGGCAGTTAAAAAATACATATATATATACAAATAATAATAAAATGTATAAAATTAATCCCTTGAAATCATGTGCTTCTATATTTGGAAAAAATAAACTTGAAATTGAGAACAACATTAATATTACTATTAATAATTATATAATTACCATGCGTTAATGAAGCCAAAAACCTTGGTTTATTAATTGATAATAATCTAAGCTTCTCTTCACATAGAACTAAGACCAAAGAGTCCAGAAGAGTTGTTTGCGGTATAAGGAAGTTTGACTCAGTATACATTAAAAAATGCCAATTGGTAAACTATGGAATACAGCAGTGGCGGCTCTTCGTATAAAGCAACTGAGGCCGGGCCTCACATGTTAAAATTATAATATAATTTGAAATTTTCGATACATTACTTATTTAAATATAAAATATTTTAAAACTAATTTCCAGTCATTAAAAGTATCAAAACATAGAATAACCATTAAATTTTGAAATATTTTCTTTAAATTTAGCGCGCCCCCCTTCCAACTTTAATTCTAAACGCTTAAGTCATTGCCCGAAAGCATAATAGGGAAATAGTAATCCCATAAATTTGCGCTTCATATACGTCACACATTGCCGATACAACATCATGCTCCCCATCGCTGCACGGTGCCGCCGGCACACCCGCAAGGCGGGGATAATACGCGAATTTTTGTAGACATTGAGGCCTACAAAGTTGGGCTTGTACCACAGTATATGGAAGACAGCAGAGTCAGTCCCGAGATTTGTGCGGCTCGCTTATCAGCCGTTGTAAAAGAATGGGCGGGCGTGGAATGTTTTAGTAAACAAAGCTTATTAATTAGATCTATGCGTGTTTATAGTTTCTTATTTCTGTTTAGTCTTTGCCTTAGCGTTAAAATGGAAAGTTGTGATAAAAATGCAAGCGTAAAATACATTATTGTGTTGTGAATTCATGTAAAAATAATTCAAATAATTATAAAAGATCATTTTTATTTTAATATACTACACACAAATACCACAGTAAAAATCTTAATAAAAATATTCAGGTTTTTTTATAGTTCAGTGTTAAATCGTTGAGTTTCATATACCTACTGTGCTGTACATTATTATTTTGTTGTTGTGCGGTTCTGCCTTTATTAATCTAAAAATAATTATTGTAAGATAGGTAAAAATGAGCAGTACCTCCTGGGTAATGTGGAAACCTGCTGAAGGAATAAATAAAAATCACACCTCGTCCCTCACTTTTTGTATTATTCTAGCTAAATTTTAAAAATTCTTCTCGTGAAAGAACATATTTTTAAATAATATATTTTTATTATTTAGATTCTGAAGTGCTCCAAAAACGCGAGACTTTGAAAATTGCCTGCGGTGCCATATAGCGGTTCATGGCCTCACCTTCATGAATGGTCACGAGCCGCCACTGGAATACAGGAGGACATTACACAGTCTGTCTTAGACGTTTTCCTTAAATCGATATATTTTGATTTTTAACTGTTCATTTATAGGTTTGCCAATTCTCTTCTCAATAAAGGAACATAATGAATTTAAGTCATTGTAATAAAACAAGTTCAACAAGCTATTTGTACAAAATAGTATGCATATTTTTAACAGATTAAGCAGAATAAAACCAAGATACGTTTGCATCGTTATAAATGAATTTAGGGTAAACAATAACTATATACATTGATTTGATTGAAGGTAAAAAATTGTATATTGTTATGGTAAAGATTAATACTGTAACATTGTTTCACTCATTGTGTTTTACTTATAATTATAATTCAACATAATATCGCTCGCTCTCTTAAAATGAATTAGACAAAAATATCTAATTTTAAGTCATTTATAACTATTTTTCGTAGCGAGAAAGCGATCACTAATAATTATACTTATATGCCTTTTAAACTGTGATTTGGTGAAAATTTGGGTCAAAACTTTAATGAAAAGATTAAAATTTTTTGTATCACAAAAAGACACTGATACTTTTGTCTAAAATCCGCTACTGTTTTTTTTAGTTATTTATTTGTTCTCAATGGTTTATTAAAATAAAAAGTCATGTTTATTATTAAACCGCACTAATTTACTGTTCTTTTTATTGTTCCAGATATTGTGTCCCAACTCAAGACAGCTACAAAAAAAGAAACCTCCGACCCCAAAATCGGAAAATTGAATTTTTATTCAACCACGTCGAAAACCGAAAGAAAACTCCTAAAGCAACGCATTTCGCGAACAACGTAATTGAGCACTTTCATGAAAGTTTTCTGTCCCGCAGGACGACGATGACAGCCACTTGCGTCATCCCTGTCCAAGAGACGTGGCAACAAGGCCGCAGCAGCGTATGGCTACTAGATCTGTGGAGGAGGATTAATTGAGGCACTCATTAAGGCGAGATGGTGGTAAGAAAAGCCAAGCGATTATAGGTCCGGATTAAATATTATTTTTTTTTTTTATTAATTTGGAGATCCATTTTATAGCATAGTAATAGATATTTAACTCAATGTTTATGAAATAATAGCACTTCTCTGCTTTTTGTTTTTATTTATTTATTTTAAAAACCCGACTAGTTTCGGTTATTATTAACCATCTTCAGGGGTCTCTACAATAGTAAAATACACTTATTATTGAACAAATTATTAAAATCATGGTTAAAATTACTTACACGTCAAAACAAAAAGCAGAGAAGTGCTATTATTTCATAAACATTGAGTTAAATTAAATATTATTGTTTAATTGCTTGATAAAAGGTGTTTGAACGTTTTACATAACATTACGCTGTACATTACTGCGATTAAAATACTTTGGAGAATTATTCACCACTACTCAATAGTTACTTATATTAGAATACAATTAGATTGATGAATATGTGTAAACAAATTATAATAAATAAAACTGATTTTCGACATCATGTGAAAATTTTACGATATGTTAACGCTAAGACACTCGTTTGACTAATGTCTAAAAGTCTTATAGGAATTTTATCCAAATAAAAAAAAAGTTGTATTAAGTATTTTTAAATTCAAAAGTAAGGGTAGGTATACCTACCCGTTAAAAAATATATATTTTAACGGAGTTTTAATAAGAGCTCCTTAAAAGCAAAATACTTTTAAAACTATCTGTATAAAGAAAGCTTTAAAACTAAAAATAAAAGCTGTTGCAAAGTTGCTTTTATTTGTCAATCAAAAAACAATAATAAAACAACACCAGTTTTAAAAGCATCATAAGATAATTTAGTTTGACTAAATCCAAATAGTCATTTTTAAGAGTAAATGCCAAATGGTTTTAATGTGAAGCCTTTAAGATGGATATAAAACCTTTCTTTAAAACCATCTTCACTTAGAGCAGTGGTTCTCAAACTTTTTTTTCGCGTACCATTCATGTGCAATGTGGATTAATCGAGTACCACCGAACTAAATAAAACAAGTTGTGCTGCGTGTACGTATTTATTGAACTTGTAGTTTAATATGAAATATTGATAACCGTGAAACAGAACCAATTTTTATAGTATTAAAACAACACTTTGTCAGAAAATGATAGATTTTCAATAAAATTGAGCCAACGATAATTTTATTTGAAGGCAAGTATACATCTATAATCTATTCGCGTACTACCTTTGGATGCCTCATGACTCATGAGGCATCCAAAGGTAGTACGCGAATAGATTATAGATGTATACTTGAGTCATGAGGCACGTACCACTTGTGGTACACGTACCACAGTTTGAGAACCGCTGACTTAGAGTATACGAGGTGTGTTCAGAAAATATCGGGAATTTTAGTTTTTTGAAAAAAATATTTCTTTATTCGTCTACATTAATGTTGTCCCCTTTATGTGCCAGCTCTTCTTCCAATACTCGAAACTCTTCTAAAACTCGATCTTTGGGATAGCCTTTAGTTCTTTCAGTGATGCGCTTTTAATGTCATCTATGCTTGCAAAACGACGGCCCTTTAAGGTTTTCTTTATTTTTGGGAATAGGAAAAAGTCAGACAGAGGCTGGGGCATCATTACAGTATTGTTTTTGGCCAAAAATGTTGTTCAAAATTTAACAATTTTAGAACAAATTTTGCTGGCACGCGTTTCATACCCAAAACATTCGAAAAAAATTCATGAGATGAGCCAATCGATATATCGATTATATATATATATATATATATATATATATATATATATATATATATATATATACCAACATCATCAGCGACTTCTCTGATGGTTTATAACCATTTCTTCCACTTTTTCCATGTTTTTATCGGTTGTTAATGTGATTGTGCGTTAGGGGCGTTCGTCATCTTCAACGTCTTCACGGCCATCTTGGAAACTCTTATACCACTTGTAAACTTTGGTTTTGTTTTTTGTTAACATTTCACAGAATTTATTTCATTTTTTAAGTAAAATTGGATACAAATTCTTTGATTCATTTCTTTTAACGAACGAAAAATCGCCGAGCTCATAAAACACGTCTAACCTTGGCGGCTGCCACAGACAAAGTAAACAATGAAAACAGCTAAAGTTTTTATCATACTTCGGGGGCATGTATACCAACATAATAAAGAAAATTTATGACAACCGGACCCTCCGAACCCGCGAAATTTAACAATTCCCGTTATTTTCTGAACACACCTCGTAGTTGGCATTTATGAAAACCTTTAAAACAATTTACAATATTTCCGTCATAATAATACATTTTTAAATCCAATTCCAGTTAATTTTGTATTTAAAATCTTACAAACAAAGCAACTTTCTAGATGTAAGTAGGCATGAAAATAAATTAAAAATTTCCTTTAATACTTAGTAATTCAAAACTAATTAAAAACAACTGTTTACAGGAATATAAAATCAATATTTGCCAATTAATCCACTCTGGCCATTTCTATATAAATTATTACTCGTATAATTGGCTTTACCAGTCCTTTCCATGAATAACGTATTTGGCCATAAAACTCAACATTACAAAATAATAATATAAAATAGTAGCATTGCCTTTCGCGTAACAAAAATGTAATAGACATAAATAAACTTGAACATTAATTACAAAAGTGATAAAAAAAGTTCGACAGTTGAGTTTTGTTTAATCAGGATGATGATGTAAAATAAAAAAACAGGCCGATAATAAAAAGGTCAAAAGGAAAAAGGTGTCAAATGGACTTGCTCGAAACTTGATGACTCGAACCCCGAGTCATCAAATTACATGTAATAATGGGTTTATGACCCGGATAAATTGACGTTCCACTCCTCACTTTTCCTCATCCTTTTCGCTAATGAAACATAAATTTAATAACAAGGGGAAGTTAAATTAGGTTATAAAAGAGTTAAGCTTTACAATATAATATGGGAAAATATGTTAAAAAGTTATTTTTAACAAACATCCAGAGGCGGATTTACAAATTTTGCAGCCTAAAGGCTAAAACAAACTGCCGCCTACACGAAGAAAAAAAATTGGTAATTTCAAAAAAATATATTCTAAATTTAATTATTTTATTAACGAATTTGAATCAAAAAAGTTTATTATGGAATGCAGTTTTATTTTAATTTTTTTTACTCCCACCTTTAAAACGCACATTATCGTACATGTTTCCTATTATAATATAATATAATATAATATAATTATAGGTCAATTCTGCGCACATCTGTAAGCATCTATAAGCAAATCTGTAACTTTCTATAAGCTTATAGACAATTTGCAATTTTGCGCTTCCTGTAGCTTACAGAAAATCTTATAGAATCGTAAATATTTACGATCGGGTGTTTTCCAATCGTTGCTAGTTACAGTTTGTTTTTGTTAGGTTATGTAAAGCTATTTTAAAGATTAAAAACATAGATATTTTTAATAATGTCAATGTGGATATGATAATGGTAATATTTATCAATTGGGACAAGCAGCCTGGGCCAACTACTTTAGAAATAATTTCAATTTTGACTAATAAAAATTATATTTTAAACATAATGCTGGTTACTTTCTGTAAAACTTGAAAGGGTCAGGAATTTTTTTTCTACAGAATACTGGACACCCTGGTTAAGTATATAGTATATTTTACGTTAGCATTTATTACATATACACATTATTGTCCACAATTTGAATTTGGCGCCTGTTAGAACTAATGTGGTATCTATGTTAACCATTGCCCATTCCCGCAAAATTGCGAAAAAGTAACCAATTAAGTAGTAATTTAAGTTTAACTAGTGATGATAAAACCGCGCCTAAGTGATCTTTTAAATTCAACCTATGGCTTTATGGAGCGTTAGTCACGTGCTGAAGTAAGCAACAGGTTTTTAGGAATGGGCTGAAGTTAGTTTTAAGTTACTTAATAGTTTTAAAATGTAATCGTTAAAATAAAGGGTCCTTCTTTTGAAATATGTGTAAATAAAAAGTATAAAATTGTTTCTTAACGTCAATACCTATTATATGCAAGTTTGTACTGACCTTTTGATTTTGCCGGAAGTAAATTGAAAGCATTAAAAATTTCGGGTGGAGACTCCGCCGTGAAGTGCCCATAAAACATTTTCTTCACTTTTACTGTAAAAAACTGCTTCTATATCATCATTTAAACAGCTGTTACATTTTGACTCGCGCTGGTAATACAGATTCCCAAGTTAGAAATTGTTAAGCGAGTTACTCTTTTTTTATAAATAAGTCGCTCTATACAAATATTTGATTTAAATCATTTTTAGATAATAATAAGTATTTGTCGTAGAAAGAGTATAATTCGTTTATAAACTTTTCTAGACACTCATTTAATCTCGATCGCAAGCTTGCTCGTGCCTAAATTAAATTCGTGACCAAAATGGCGTTTATCAAACTTGATACATAATATACTATTTTTCGATTCAAATTCGGTGTTCAAATAATCAAATTTGAAATCAATTAATTGTATTTGTTTAAAATTACATCGGAATATTTTTCTCTCAGTGTATGCTATATATTTTATACAAAAAATAGGAAAAATAGGAGGTATGTAGATAGGAAATTCTGCGTAGTATTAGTATTAACTTGGTTAATAGGTACTTTGTTGTTAGTGGCCACAGAAAATATTTTTGCCTTCCAAACTTTTCCGCTGTAGGCAATAACTTAGCTAGCCTATTATATAAATTCGGACCTGTAAATATCTGAAAGTTACAGGTTTTCATGCCTACTTGAAGTAAGTATTTCCTGTGACCACATTAAAAAACATCACAAACTTGCTTTTTTGGCATTATAACCATGTAAAATTTCATGTCACATTTTTAGCATAGATTCCTGGGTTATCGTCGACATGTTTTCCACTAACTAAACAGTTATCTACATGGTGGTTTTATACAAATCTATATTAGATACCTAAAAAGTAAAAAATATCATCGACAAAATTATACGAATAGCATTATATTATTATTAATGGTATACACTAAGTGTTTCCATTTCAAATCGTCCTGGTATACCTACAGAGAATAGCCCGTCCGTGACATCGTTGCCACCAAATTTTAAGACGAAAAAAATTACCTACCTTCAGTTTTTCGGTCATAGCTTAGTGGCATTTACTGCTAAAAAAATTAGTACGCGAGCCCTCAAACATTATCTCCTTAACTACTTAGTATACAGTCAAACTGGATACCGATATCGGTCTTTCAAATGACTAAGCTGTAGCCCCCAAGAAGGCCCTGGAAAAATTTTGACAGCCAAAAAAATTTATAAAATATTCAAAAAAAAATATTCTCCTAATTTTGCTCAATATGAAAAAAACCCAAATTATGCATTTTTCCACTCCAGAAACACCATTGACCGCACGATATAGCCGTCATGGAACAATTTGTCTAGGCTGCATTTTTGTTCACGGCGACGGTTTTGCTATGTCGCTATTTTTGCAACCCCATGGGGTTGAAAAATGGGGAAACATTTAAAAATCAGTTTTTCCAGACTTAATACAAATTAAAAAGTAGTAGATCTCAAAAATACGCGGCGATTGTGTATATGGAACCTTATACGACGATATTTCCACCATACAAAAAATATGGGACAAAATTTGTTTATGAAAAATTTAAAAACCGTTATAGTTTAAAAGTACGAAATGTGGGGTCATCAATTCCTACAATTTGATCCATATGAACCACCCTCGAATTATGCCCTGTTTTTATTCCCTATTTTATTTAAACATTATTTTGTCTTATTATTCCAAGATAAGTATTGTCAATAAATAAAATTTCATTGAACATCATTTGTTTGTCACACCCTCAGCTAAAATTTAGTCAGGGGTGGAAAATGTTGTCATTAATTTTTTAAAATATGTTTTAAATTGTTGTTGAGACTGTAAAGCGATTAAAACGTGATTAGGGGACATCCATTAATTACGTGACGTAAAAATAGGGGGGAGGGGGGTCTAGCAAAATCTCACCAAATCTCTTCTTAAGGGAGGTGGAGTCATTTAAAATCTCACGTCAAGTTTTGGGTTTAAAGAATAGAAGTACTTATTATAATTAAAATTTGTCAAAAAAAGGTAATTAATTTTTTTTTGGGTTTATCATGTTGTCCGCAATACAAGTTTATTTGCTAGAATCTCACCAAGGGGGAGGAGGGGTCCAAATTATCAGAAAAATGCCTCACGTAATTAATGGATGTCCCCTTGTAGTGTTAATTAATTTAATGACTATTTGACTAAATTTGATAAAAGGACTGTGTGTTAAAAAAATAATTGTGGTTGTTTCTGTGGCAGCTTCTCGTTAGATAGAATAATTGGTTAATAATAATTTATTGATAATAATTTATCATGAAAAGATCATTTTCCAACCCAAAAATAGAGACATGCGTCAATAGTTTTCTTAAAATTTGATTTTGAATTTTCAACCCTCATGTGTCCATTCAAAAGGTCCGCACACGTGCCCCTAAAATAGACGGTATTTTAATTATTGAAAAAACATTTTTTTTAAATTTTTTTGAGGGTGTTAACATTTTTCCAGAGGGTTGATCGGATACTCCATCGACGCGAGTCATGATTTTTTCCAAGCGCGAAATTGAATAAAAAACTATTTTTTTAAAATGTACTCCCCTTTTTTACCCCAAAAATAAACCCTAACGACTTCACCCCTGCAAACAAAAATGTTACCAGGTGCTTTTTTTAACAATTTACTTCTTAGAATTTCTACTCGTAATTTGTTCATCATTTTAATGTACTAAATCTATTATTCCCCAAAAAATTATCAAAAATAATATATTTTGTTTTGAAAATCAAATATTTTATTTAATTAGGAAATTAAAACAGTGTCTCACTGTTTCACTGTTCCTTTTTTCTAAGTTATAATATATAATATGATTATTATTAGCCAAAAATTTTCCGATTTTGGACATATTGATCATATTTTGTAAAATGTCTTAAATTTATCTTAAACCTCTCGACTAATATATATAATGTCATGTCCTGTTAAAACATATTCAAAAAATAGAACTGTAATAGTTATTTATGTAATTAGGCTGAAAAGTAAGTCTTTTTGTGCTAAGTAGGCCGAAGCGTAGCGTATGCTATACAACATTTTGTCTTTACAATTTTATTTGTCAAACGTACAATTATAATACCTAATTATTAAAAATAAAAAGTGAGGTTAGGTAGATCCGACAGTAGTCGTCTTTTTTATTGGTCCAAACGCATTTTTACAGACTAGGAGGTAAAACATACCCGATTAATTTAAATTATTTTTACAGCCTAGGCGATAATCAATCAATTTAGTAGTAAGTGTTGTTAATAATAAAACGCTCGCAGATAGTATATTATGTATCAAGTTTAATAAACTGCCTTTTAGTTACGAATTTAATTTAGGCACGAGCGAGATTTAATAATTAAATGAGTATCTAGCAAAGTTTATAAACGAGTTGCATCCTAAACTTCTTTACGACAAATATTTAATACTATCTAAAAATGATTTAAATTAAATATATTAAATATTATAGTATATTATGTATCAAGTTTGATAAAAGCCATTTTATACACGAATTTAATTTAGGCACGAGCGAGCTTGCGAGCGAGTGCTTAAATTAATGAGTGTATAGAAAAGTATATAAACGAGGTGCATACTATACTTTTTCTACGACAAATACTTATTATTATCTTAAAATAATTTAAATCAAAAATTTGTATAGAGCGTCATCTACGAAACAATAGGGGAATCAGTGTGTAACCGTCAAATGTCACATTTTTATAAACACAGATTATAAAGGTTATAGGTAAATCTAAATGTTTTTCTTGAAAATTGACAGTTTTTCACAGTGAAAGTAAAGAACATGTTTTATGAGGACTTTATAGTGGAGTCCGTGCCTGAATTTAAGTTATAGTTTACTGCCGGTGAAATTAAAAGGTCAGTACAATGTTCATATAAACTTTTCAAATATTGGGGTTGAGAAACTATTTAATACTTTTGTATTTTTGTATTAAGATAATAAAATAATTTTCTCATTTAGTATTATTTTACAAGAAAGGCACTTAGGCATTAACGATTGTATGACATTTAAAAACAACCAACCAACTTAAAACTAACTTTAGTCCGTGACTAAAACCTAACTTCAGCCATAAAGCCACAACTTGTTAATGTGTATTTAAAAGATTACTTAGTGTCATGGACGATACTGGGCGTTACAATATCGTTAAACAGTAAATATACTCTTACATTTGTCTTAAATTTATTCTGTCAGAAGTGTCCTTAAAATCATGACACTGACCAAAAGCTATTTTAGAAATGTTTTAAAACAATTAAATAATTGTAAATTTATAAAATATCCTTAAACTGTAATCATATTAAATCTGTCTTAAATTATTTTTATTAAAACTAATGTCTAAAATCTGGTCATATTTTTGAAGACATCAGTTTTTTCATAAATATTTATATTTACCTATTACATTTATATTTTGAAATTGTGTAGTGTATTAGTTTATTTTATCATTTTTCTACTTTCCAGTAAAATAAAAAGTCTTTAAACAAATAAACATACAAAAACATTTACAAAAGTTAACATGGAACATAAATCTCACTATATTCTAAATTGACTTGACGTTTATTAATCGACAATGTTTATTACATTTTTCTTTGTAGCACGTTCCATTGAAATTATGATATTGATTTTCCTTTTATTTCTTATCCCACGATCAAAGCCTTGTTCGTAAAAAATTTTCCATTACACAAGAAACAAATCAATTATTGGTGAAAAAAATTAATGCAGAAAATTAATTAATTAGAAATTAATGAGAAAATGAAATAGAATTTACCTATTTGTGAATTTAATTTAAATTTTATGGGTAAATAATTTATTACTTAATCCACTTCATCGAGTAATAAAACAGTTTTATTAGTAAATTAACATATTTGTATTATATAAATATATATGGGGCTTTCCATGCCAAATCGGACATATTGGCTTTAAATTTTAAGGGTCTATAGTGGAACCCAAAATATGAAAAAATCTTAAATTTCAGCACATTTTATGCATTAAAAAAATAACATTTATTAAATAAATTTATATTTTTAAAAACCGATATTTTTTTAAATCTGAATTAAATCATACCAATACCGCAACATTTGCGCTATTTTTAAGTATACTTTTTTGCACACTTTTAGATTTGTACATTTTTTGGGTTTTACTATAATAGACCCTCAAACTTTGAAGGAAATCGGATATAATTAACTATTAACTTTTTTTTCAGTTAAACACGGAGTGGGCCCAGGTAGAAGTTATAGACTTAATCAACGATGGCTCTGGATTGGCATTTGGAATCATAGGAGGCCGAAGTACAGGTGTTGTTGTTAAAACTATTCTACCTGGAGGAGTAGCCGATAGGGTACGTTTTAGAGTACATAAAGTAGGGTAGTAGTGCAAGTTGTTTTCTAGGAGCCTATAATTTTATGGTATGTGGATTCAACAGCATGCCTTAGGCTTTTATTTTATTATGCTTACAAAAATTTGTAATACGTCTAAAGAAATATAAAACGCTGTTTTGTTTTTTTTCAAAACTTAAGATAAAGTATCTTTATTGATATTTTCTTAATACATACATTTGTCACGGTTTTTCATTTATTTTGTAAGATGAAATAAAAAAATATCTTTTTTAACCTTTCTTTTTTCCGTGTCGTTATAAAATTTCCTATAAACATTTATATGTTAAACAATTATAGTAAGTTTATAAACGAGTTGCATACTATAATTGTTTTACGACAAATACTTAATATTATCACCCATAATATAACAAGTGGTATGATTATAATCGATGATATTTTCGAATTGAAACCGAGCTGCAGATTTCACGAGTCCGCAGGACGAGTGAAATGTGCTGCTTCGGTTTCAATAAGTAAATATCTTCGATTATTAATCATACCACGAGTTATATTTAGTGAGAAAATACAATGAATTTTAGGAATTAAAAAATTTGTCAGATTGACATTTAAAATTAAAATGTGCTTTAAAATATAAAAAGACTTTAATAAACCTTATTTATTCAAACTTACCTTAATTTCATTATCGTTTACACCAACCCATCGATCTTTTAGAGTTTATAATTCATTATTTTATTGATATATATCAAACACAGAATTTAAATGACAACACATGTTAAATCAAGAAAAGTGTCAAAATTCTTAGTAACGTGTAAACAAGATGATAAAAAATATTGCCGCTGGGATAAAATGCGGAACTATGGAATGCTGGCATTTTATTGGTTCTAATATTAATGAATTGTATTGTCTAAAAAATAATTAAAATTAAATATTTGTATAAAGCGTCATCCATACGAAAATAAAGTAAAAATCCCAATAAACATTTTTGACGTAATTTTCAAATGTTTAATGCTTTATCAATGAATAGTTCAGTAAACGTTCATATAATCTTTTTAAATATTAATGTTAAGAAACTATTTTTGTATTGAGATAATAAAATATTTTCACATTTAGTATTATTTTACAAGGCACTTTATTTTAACGATTGTATGACATTTTACAGCTGTCTAATAACTTAAAACTAACTTCATCCCGTGACTAAAAACCTGTTGCTAACTTCAGCCTGTGACTAAAGCGCCATAAAGCCACAGCTTGTCAATGTGTATTTCAGTGGCGGCTGGTGGATTTTGGGCACACCCATATCTCAGTTATTAGATATGGGACCCACATTAAATTTTTTTGAATTTACAATGACATTGGGGCATTCGCGTTACTCGGTAATTTTTGTCCCGCCCGTCACAATTAAAAATTGTGAGTAAAAACCACAAGTTATAAAATTAATATTTTATAATATTATTTTTATTGTGCTTATAACTTATTAAAAGCATAATAAAACAATATTTTTAAATAAATTTTATAACGGGTAGAATTTAATCACAATTTTTAATTGTGACGGGTGGGACAAAAATCCCCGAGTAACGTGGAATGATCCCATTATATAGACAAGTTCTGCGCAAGCAGAATTTAAATTGAAGTTTGCGAAAAAAGTTATTTTTTAAGTGTGCCCCCATCCTCCTTCCCCCCAAATTAAGATAATGCAAATTGAAGTGGTACAATATTTAATTCACTGAAGATTATCAATAAATTTCAAATTTTATTAAAAAATTTCAAGAATTACCGGTTTTATACCATTTTAAATTTTTATTATTTCCTTTACTAAATTTAATAATAAATAGAAATGGTTTAAAATCTGTAATACTTGAATTTTTTTAATAAAATTTGAAATTTGTCGATAAACTTCAGTGAATTAAATATTGTACCACTTTAATTTGAATTATCTTAATTTGGGGAGGCTGGGGGGCACACTTAAAAACTAACTTTTTTTCGCAAGCTTCAATTTGAATTCTGCTTGCGCAGAACTTGTCTATATAATGTCATTATAAACTCATATAAGTTTGATGTGGGTCCCATGTCTAATAACTGAGATATGGGTGTGCCCAAAATCCACCAGCCGCCACTGCACTGGTGTATTTAAAAAGTCACTTAGTGTCATGGAAACATGTACGATAATGGGAGTAGAAAATTATATAAATATAATATGGGTTCTTTAAAATAAACTTTATAATCTAAAATAGTATATTATGTATCAAGTTTTATAAACACCATTTTAGTTACGAGTTTAATTAAGCACGAGCGAAGCTTGCGAGCGAGTGTTTAATAAAAAACGAGTGTCTAGAGAAGTTTATAAAACGAGTTGCATACTATACTTTATCTATGACGAACATAAATAAGAATTTAAAGCCAATTTTATTTGTAAAACATTTGACATGTGTCAACTGTCAACGGATTTAACCTTACTTTTTCCCAATTAATAATAAAGCTAACTTCAGCCCGTGACTAAATTGACCAAAAGCCACTGTTGCTAACTTCAGCCCGTGTCCGTTGCAGTGTCTTAAAAATGGACATTTTCACAAAGCGAATCAGCCATAAAAAAGGCAATTTAGATTTTTGTTAAGTTGAGATTATTAATATATACATAACCAGTGGCGAATCCAGGGGGGAAATGGGAAGATCCCCCCCAAAAGCTTTAGTACTGAAAAAAATGTTGAATGAGAATAATAAGGAAAAAAACACACTGAAACTTTCACTAAATACAATTTCAAATAACATTGTGTAAAAATTAATTACTTCTAGAATTGCTTTTTTCTACGACCACTATGTTACATTTCGTATTGGCATCGTTGCTTAGAAAATAAATCTTTTCATTGGCAAGGCAAAACACGAATGTAAAGTGACATTTCTGTGTGAAAAGTGACAGGTCTGTGTGAAAAGAAATTGACAGCATCGTTTGACATTCGTTTCAAAATTTGTATTGTATTTATATATGTATGTCTGTTTTTTTTTCAAATGCAAAACAAAATAACCTAAAAAGAAGTTTGACAGACCTGTCACTGTTCACACAGACCTGTCACTTTTCACACAGAAATATCACTTTACATTCTAGTTTTCCCTTTCCAATGAAAATATGTTCATAAGCAACGATGCCATTACGAAATGTGACTTTTACATAGTGGTCGTAGAAAGAAATATAAATACGTATACAGTAAGTACAGGAGCCCGAAGAATCCGTGTAAAAAATTTGGTGACCATACAGTGGGAATTCGTGCTATTATTTTTTAAATTTATCCTACTGTGCGAATTTATCCCATTATTTTTAAATTTTGAACCACTGTGTGAATTTGTCCTACTATTTATGCTACAGTACAAATTTGTCCTACCATTCAAAATTTTACCTACATTGCAAATTTATCCTGTCAATTTTTAAATTATTGCTTCTGTGCAAATTTTTTCCATTATTTTTTATTTTTGAACCGCTGCGCGCTATGCAAATTTGTCCAATCCTTTTTTTAATTTATGCTACTGTGCGAATTTTTACCATTTATGCAACAAAATTTAAAATAAACTGCGCACCACTCAATGTGTCGCGACCAAAAATTTCGTCCATTTTCAAAACGACATAACTTTTTTATTTCTTGAACGATTTTATTTTGGTTTGTGATGTCTGCTAGCCCCATTCTCTGGCAATTCATGCTATATATATGAAGCTCACGGTTCTTCAAGTAAATTTACTACAGGGTGATATGTAAAACAGTGAAAAATTTCAAAAACTTCATCCAAGCCCCGTTTGTAAAATAAATATTTTTTTCTCGTTTTTACTTTGAAATAATGAAGTATTATGTCTTACCTTGAAACGTTTTTCAAATTTTTCGAATTGGAATCCTAGCAACAAAAATATGATTTTTTTTTCAATGGAGTAAATTTGATGCTTTTTTGTAGGCAATAAACTCAGCCTTTTTAAGAACAAAAGATAAGATGGTGAAAGATTGTTCCTTGAATAATTCTGAACAAGCGACAAGCAACAAACTTCCATTATTTTCAGAGGAACCTAAGCAAAGACCACTTTTTCAAAATTAAATTTTGGTGAAAATTTTCGAAAATTAAACCTGAACCGATATTTACGTTCGTGACATGTTTTCTTCATAATTTTGACCTGATTGTGATTCAGTTGTCAAATTTAGGTTTCATATAAAACGAAAATCACCAAGAATCAAAATTCGAAAACAATTCCTGGATATTAAATGTTTCATTAAAATCTGATTGCTGGTTTTTACTGTTTTTTTACTGTGTTTTGCATTTTTAGTACGTTATTATCATGTCACTGAATGATCAAATCAAGGATCAAATGATGAAACTTAAATGCCAATAATTTGGTGTTGGTGGACGACAATGCCCGTCCGCATCGCGCTTATATCGTAAATGAGTATTTAAGGGACCATGATATTGAGAGAATGAATTGGCCACCTTTGTCTCCGGATATGAATCCTATTGAGCATGTGTGGAGCAGGATGAAACTGAAAAAGAAAGAAAAGAAAGGACGCATGGAAAATTTGGATGAATTGGTAAATTCGATTCAGGAAGAATGGGAAGCCATACCCCAGAAATTTCTAAGGAACTTGGTCTAGGAAATGCTCAGGAGGGTTAACGAATTATTACGGGTTAGGGGAGGGCCAACGAAATATTGAAAGTTATTATTGTTATTGTTTGTTACATTTTTCTGTTGAATGTTGTAGTTTTTATTATGATTATATCTTCGCATAAAATTTTCAAAAATAAACAAACAAATTTTGTATTTAACTTTATTACCAATTATGTAGGTACTTATCAGTAATAAGTTATCACTAGTGAGCAATATAAATGTAATTTATGTAACATTATCCTAACCACTCAAACAAAAATGAATCCCCAAATGGCATTGGCAAAGACATTTAACAGCCGGGAATTGTTTTCGAATTTTGATTCTTGGTGATTTTGGTTTCATCTAAAACTTAAATTTGACAACTGAATCACA